GAGGAGCTGCACGGGCACCTGGGTTGGAAGCTCTTCCTTTACCCTGCAAGGGATTTCACAATGCCAAGGACAAGCACAATCAAAGAGCTAAGTCATCTGCTTACTAGCTTAGTGTGAGGTCAAAGGAGGCCAAGAGGAATTTTCAACACAAGTCACCACTTGAACAGATGACATAAATTGGAGATGTAGGACACTAATCTGCAAATTCTCTGAAGTTATGGGGAAAAGTTTTTTTGTGTGTTTGGAAAGAGAACCATGGGCAGTATGGATCTTACTATGATGCAATGGTATCATACAATGTACAAAATTTATCTTCAAATTGTCAGACAGGAAAGCTTTTTTAAAATAATATTGAAACAAAACATGATGACTAATACTTGAATTGCAGGAGGCTGAGGTAAGACAATCTTGGAAATTCTCCATCAGCTTGGGCTACATAGTGAGTTGTGGCCAGCTTGACCTACACAGTGAGAACCTGGCTCAAAACAACTAAAAAAATGTTGCAATTCTGGGTGCCTTAGTTTTCCCACTGCCTAAACACTTGAAGAAGTTGCCATGGTACAGATGAGGGTATCTGTAAAGTGGTGGAACAACGGAAATTTCTCCATGTTCTTTCTTACCTTTGGAATCTTCATAGTTTCTGGCAAACTAGTAAATATCAGTCAATACAAGCCACAATCAAGGAGAGAGGAAATGACATTTTCTGGGAAAACAAGATCGGAATCAGTCACACAGTGATTCTCATGAAGCCTTCAAAAACCCCAAAAGCGAAGTGAAACAGTCCCTGTCCACTTACCTTGTCCACAACTGTCCCTACAGGCAGCATCACAATGTGACAGTAACCCAAGCTCACCGTGATCACAGAGAGGTGGCTATGACCACTTGACACAGATATCAGCTCTACAAGCATCTGCAGACCTTGGACTGACAGCCCAGTGCCGGCAATGGCTTGGGATTCAGTATACAAAGCTATTTTCACAAGAATTACAGGGAAGATGCCAACAGCAATTCAGAACCATACTCAACACATCGTTCCATTCCTGAGCCAACCACATGTGCCAGAGTACTCTGTAGAACACATAAACAATACTTTTCACCAGGGAAAATGTAGGAAGCCTACCAAAATCTTGAGAAACCAAAATAATAGTTATTCATGAAGCACTGTTACAGGAAGGGAAATATTCCAAGTCTACCTTGTAGCTTATTTTCCAGTATATTTTAAAAATATTTTCAAGTGATGTCAGTTGACATATTTTTAGTTAGAAAAATTTTTTTAATATTTTTCCGAGTTTTATTCTGCATAAAGATTTGCTTGCAGGACATAATGATTATATTCCTTATCATGGTTATCTTAATCAGCATGGTGCTGAGTGTGGAGGAGCCCACTGAGGACTGTAGCCAGTATACAAAGGAGAAGTACAGAGGAAGAGGGTAGAGTTGTGGGCTCTCCTAAGCTTTGTTGTTCTTTGAAGCTGTTAGTTCTCCCAGAGGAGTCCGTAGAGCTTTTCTCCTGATATCAACTGGGCTGTTATCATTGAAGGAGTTTGGGACTTTGTTGCAGCTTACTTTGAGAGAGCTCTGGTCCTTACTTTGAGCATGGCTTCCTGGCTCTGGAGGGAAAGATAGCGTACTCCTCAATATGCAGGAGAAGCTTGTTATGCTGGCTACTTGAAGTGAACTTGACTTTTCTCATCACTGGAGAAGCCTGAGACCTCATTGTGTCTTATTATGGCTGTGATCCTTTTGGGATAGCACTGGTCCTTATTTTGAGCATTACTTCTTGGCTTTAGTATAGAACCCTCAACATACTGACAGAGATCCTTCATCCTACTTGCATAGGTTTTCTAGCTTCCACTGCTAACCTTTGGCCTTCCTAGGGTAGATCCATGGAACAGAATTGAGTGAGTCATTGTCGTGGACTCCTGGCCTGCAGCTGGCTCAAAACAACTGGCATTGTGTGAGGCATTGTCGTGGGCACTAGGTCTTCAGCTTGACTCATGTAGGACATTGCTGCAATATGCAGTGCTTGATTGGATTTCCTTGGGTCTTTAGTATGTGCACAAATTGCCTGCAATTTCTTTGTTTTTACCTGTGGATGACTATCATACATTATATATAAATTATTTGTTTTGTATATAATTGTTCTCCTTGCAGTCCCTAATCAAGGCAGTGATATTCCACTTTCAAAAGATCTGCCCCCTTCTGTCCTATTTTTGTTGTTTCATTTTGTTTGATATATTTTAGGGATTGATGCAAAAGAAAAATTTCATGATATTTAACCTTGCTCATCTGATTTATTTCACTTGACATTATGACCTCAAGGTGAGTACATTTTGTGCAAATCAATCAAGACTCTGTTCTTTACAATATGTGTGTGTGTGTGTGTGTGTGTGTGTGTGTGTGTGTGTCTGTATGTATGTATGTATATCACATTTTTTTTAATCACCACATCTTTTGTTGGACAATGAGCCCACTTTCAGAACTTAGTGATGATGTACTGTGGTGCAATATTTTCTGGACATGCAAGTACTCGTGGAGTGTGACATGCATGTTTTCTTCAAGGATGTGCCCCAGCAGGGCAAGAGATGGGGCAGATGGAATTTTACATTTTTAGTTTTCAGGGTTTCCCATGCTTGTTTTATAAAGTGGTTGTTCTGGTTTCAATTCCCACAGATATTGTAAAATCTGCCTCCCCCTCCAAGCCTTGCCACCATGTGGGATCATTTGAGTGGTTGATAACAGTCACCATTTGTAGGGAAGATGGATCATCGTTGCCATTTTAGTAGAAACAAGGATGAGAAACTCATCTCTGTGTTTTCTGCCTGCAAAACCCATTGATCCTCTCTGGTTTAGGACATTTCTGCTACTTGTCAGCTTTTTATTATTCAGTGAAGGAAGCATATGTAAATCATCGCAGCCACCTACCCTTTCACTTTTCTTGGCCATGACTCAGTGTTATGGAAATGACCCCAAACATCTTCATCATCACACAGTTCATGTTTGGTAAACACCTGTCCAATGTGAGGTTTTTTGTTATGGATCATTTTCACATTTGATTCTATTTCAGCTCACATTATTTACCCTAAGAAGTTCTGTCTTTTAAATACCACCCTGTGGTGAACATCACAGGCCCAGAAGCTTTAAACATATTTTCCAGTGTATCAGAGGTGCTGATCTGTTTCCAAAGTTGACTCTGAAACAAAGACTGGAAACCCTTTCCCATGGCCTCAGTGATGCATCCCTAGGGCTTTGTGCCCACTGAAGGAGCAGCCCAGTGCCTTTTTGCTTTATATTTGAGAACGAGTGTCAGAAAGCTGTGCAAGCAAGGTCAAATTCGCATGCAGACCATAACCTCCAATAGTGCTGGTAGTATCCACATGCCACTGTGCCCTGCTGAGGAGCCTTTCTGAAGTCACAGAGAGTGGTGCAGGTGAATCTCTTAGAGCTGGGATAGGAGGAGAGAGTTTGCTGGTGGGGGACAGGCCCTCTTTGCCATTGCTCTGCTAGGCTTCTCTTCATGTCTTTGCACCATCCAGCACAGTGAGGTGATGCAGTGTATGGTATGGGCTGTCTCATCAGAGGGCCATAGGCTGAACCTTAAAACCAACTCAGGATCCCCGCATAGTGTCTCTTGCTTTAGGGACATGATCTCAGATACTAAGGAGGCCCATAACAATCAGCTGAGTAGAGAGAGTGAGGGTCTCTTTAAACAGGATCCATGTCCAAACTCAATTCAAGTTTTTATGGCACTCAGTATCCTTATGGGTAAGCCATCTCTCAAGGATACTGCACAGGTTTTGTGATTTTCTGTCATCACCCACAGTACTGGTCAGCACCCCCTTAGCAGACAGTCTACTTTATGTACAAGTAAAGGATCATCAATCCCAGGGATCCGTCTGAGACCCTGGTTTAGTCATTGGACTCCATGGCCCTAAAATATGTTCAGAGACCTTTAAGAGAAGGCCAATTCCTGGAACACTCACTCAATGCACCTGCTGTGCAGAGGAGCAGAGTGGAGCTAACTTGTCCCAGGGTGTTAGTGGGCCTCCATTGTCTTCCTACCAGGACTCCACTTTTCGCTGCACCTGTACCCTCCGTGCTCAGCTCAGAAAACTGGGAAACTCTGTCACCCATGTATCTATCCCCTGATCTCTGTCTGCAGAGCTCTCAGGAGAGAGTTTTCCTGCCATCCTGTGCTCTCCTGAAAATGGGGCAGAGTTGTGGGGGAGAAGAGGCATCCAGGAAATCTCACTACTCTAGAGCCAGGCCTAAGGCTCCTTTTAGGACCAGAATCTGATATTAGTGAGCTCACAGGAAGCACCTTGTCCTTCCCTGACCGTCACTGTCAGCTGCCTTATCCTTAACCTGAACTTTACAAGATCCAAAATGAAGCAAGGAACCTATAGGAGTGAATACTCTTGGTTGTCTTTTTTTCTCTCTTTCTCTTTCTCTTTCTTTTTCTCTTTCTTTCTTCCTTATGTATCAATGGAAGGTCTCCCATTGTTTTTAAGGTTGGTCAAGACCTCACTCTGTAGTTCGACTTACCTTAAAGTGGCAACAATCCTCCCATCAGAGGCACACACACACAGACCCACAGACACACACACACTCCTACCATAGATTCAAAAGTCAGACAGGACAGCTTGGCTTAATTCAAGCTGCTGATCCCCAGGTAGCTGGAAGAGCCACACTGAATACAAATAGGGGGCCATTTTCCAGGAAACAATGTGGAGTTTTTTGCAAGTTTAATTCGTTAACTGTTGCCTTGACCTTCTGTTTTGCACAATCTTGACTAGAGGGGAAAGGGAAAGATATCTGGTCATGTGCCTCTGAAGGACTTGCTGGTAAGAGTTTCAGCTTTGCTAGATTTTGCAAAGGAATGTTCAGCCTCTCTCAGCAGGGGTGCAGACTGGTGGACATAAATACTTTCCTTGGTTGGGCTCCTCCATCTTCCTCCTTTTCCTTCCTCTTCTTGCCTGGACAGCTGCTACTCTGAAGCCATGGCCCTGGGTCTTCTGTGGCTGTGCCTCACACTACTGTGGACCCCCAAGACGCAGGCTCAGAAATTCCCCTTTGAAGTGAAGTCGCAACCATCTCTGAGCAAGGCCTATCTGATGTCAAACTTTCAGCCTCACCAGGTAGGGCTTTAGAAAGTTACATGTAGGAGGGCTTAGGGACAGCAACTGTGGCAATAGAGCACTGGGGGTGGTGGGAAATATACTCAGTGTAGGAAGACTCAGGGACTGCAGGTCCTGGGCACGTGAGAAGAAGACATATGTAATCCCTGTGCTCAGACCAGAAAACTGAGGTTCTGAAAGGGCATGGACACTACAGCCCTGAAAGTTCCAGGCTACTTCCCAGAGTGACTCCTGGCCATGAAGGTCTCTATCTTTGCTGTCAGGATGACCCATTTCTGGCCTATAATTTTCTCAGGCCTCTCCTGGGGTACCACCAAGGACAGTTTGGAAGTATGGCTCTGTGTTATCTCTGGGCTCTGCCTGTCACCAGTCCCTTGCAGTTCCAGGGTGTGTGGCATGTCATAGGATGGGCACAGAACACAAATGTGAATGAAAGCTTAAGCCACATGAACATGTACCACCAGAACTTTGAGCTGAAGGATAACGGCACCTACAATGTCACCTCCTGGTGGCTCAGGTAATGGCTTCAGGTTCTGGGGATCAGAATGGCTGAATTGTGTAATGCCCAGGGAGTTTTCAAAATGAAGGAAGCTGTCCATCTCTCGGTTGTGCCCTAGCCAATCTTCTTCCTTCCTTCCCTCCTACCCTTGCTGTTTCCATTTTTTCTCCACTTCCTCCTTCTGCTCTTCCGCCCATTCTTCTTCCCTCTTTTCCACAACACTTTTGAGCTAGAGGATGACCACAGCTACAATGTCACCTCCTGGTGGCTCGGGTAATGGTTTCAGGTTCTGGGGGTCAGAGTGACTGTATGATCTAATTATCAAGGAGTTCTCAAAATGAAGTAAACTGTCCTTCATCTCTCTGCTCTTCCCCAAGCCTGTCTTTTTCCCTTCTTCCCTCCTTCCATCCTACCCTTGCTGTTTGCCTCTTTTTCTCCACCTTCTCTTTCTACTCTTCTACCCATACTTCTTCCCTCATTTCCAGCAAGACTGTTGCATTACTGGAGCACAGTCTGTGGACGAGGAGAGACATGATCTAGGGAGCCACTGAGGGGAGCAGGGTGTTGGAACTCAGAAGGCAACTCATTGTCTCTCATCAAGGTTTGTAGGGAAGTGACCTTCAAGGAGCCACCCTGTCTGTAATCTTAACAGGCTCAGCTTCAGAGGCTGAGGCAGGATGATCATAAGTTTGATACCAGCCTTCCCAGTGTTTGAAGATCTCTCAAAATTAAAAGTAAAAACAGGGCAATGCATTTGGCTCAGTGTCATGGCTCTGTGTTTAATTTCTACTATCACTTTCACCACCACTATTGGCACTACAAAATGTGAAGCTACCTGGAACAGCACAGGAGCTCGTGGACTTGGAGTGAGAGCCTCAGTTTAAGAGGCAGTAAAGCAGCCAGCCACCACTGTGCCCACAGAGCCACCTTGGCTGAGAATCACAGAAGAGAGCTCTCAGGCCACATTTGTGGGTATCTCACTGGAAAGTTTGCTCTGGCATGTGGCACCTAAAGGGCCAGAATCTGGACACATTTTCCAAAGGGAATTGTGGGAAGCACCACTGTAAGAATGGGCACTCACAAGCAGGTGGACACAATGATAGGACAGATGAGGAGACACAGGTGGGAGTGCTGGCTCATGGACCTGCAGTGGCTGCTGGCTCTGGCTACTGTAGGATTAGAATTAGAGCATTCAGTTGTTGAGAGGCAAATAATGGGTGGTAAAGTGGCCACAGTATATTGGCTGCAGCTATGGGGTACTCTCAGCAGAGAAGTCAGTTTTGGTTCCAGGATAGCACAGTGCTTGGTGTGGAGCAGAATGGAAGCTCACAGAAATTTGCCAGGAGAGATGGGATAGAGGAGCAGTGAGATAAAATCTGGAGGTCATTAACTTGAGTGTGTGAGTGTGGGTCATGCTGCCCGATGTAGGCAGGAGAGGACAGAGTGAATCCTGGAGGGAAGGTCAGCACTGAAGTAAGATACAGAAAGCAAAGTTCAGGGGCATGGCTTTGGGGCAGACCAGTCATAAGCTGGGTTGAGGAACCCTGTTGTAGCATTGCCCAAGTTCACTCAGTGTGGGGGATCCAAGTCTGTGTCCTCTCTTTGTTTACACCACCATCTTCTTCTCACAGTGATCAGGGATGCATTCCCTATGTTGACACTTTTGTCCCAACTGACTTGCCTGGCCAGTATATCTTGAAGGATGTTACACGTGAGTCTTGGATGAGAAAGGACTGGGGTTGAAGGGTAGGGGCTGGATTTCATTGACAAGATTATGTCTTCCTGTCACTCTACACAGATGGGTTTGGGGGGAGCCTCTCCTAACAGGTTGAGGAGGAAGAGTAAAGAACCTTCCTTCTGGTCAGTAAGGGATAACCTTTTGGATTCTACATTCCAGGTTATAAGGGATTACAGAACCTCACCATGAGAGTAATGGATTCGGACTACAAAAGGAATGCTATGGTGTTCTATGAAGCAATTGTTAATAACAGTGTATACATTGAGTGTGTCCTTTATGGTAAGTCATCACTCCATCACCTGGATCCTGGTCACATCTGTAGGAGGGGACCCCAGTGCCCCAGGAAGTCTTCTTAATTTTAAGCTCCTCATTCATGGTGAAGGTCTTTCTCGTATCTTCCATGGGGAAGTGAATTTGGGCCTTATTCACACATTCAACAGCATGTATGGAATAAGACTGGTGTTGTAGACCCCACATTTTCTACAGCCCTTGGAAAGCCAAGGAAGGCAAACTGAAAGCCCGAGGCAAGCCTGAACTAGATATCAAGACACCATCTCAGTAAAACTAAAGTAATTTACAGCATTCCCTTTGTTGTCCACTTACTACTATTTTCGCCACAGAGAGGAATAGATGGGTAAATGGTGAACTAATATGGTACTTCACTGGAATCACCATGGATATGGGCTTCCTATTTGAAAACATCGACTCCACCATCCTCAAACGTAAGAGAAGCTGGGGTGAAGGGAAAGGGATGTTGGGAAGGTCTGCTGCTGCCTCAGCAAGGAAAATGGGGAAAAGACTTTCCTGTTTTAGTCTCAGGAGTACTGGTAGCTTCCACTCTGGGGGTTATTAGCCCCCAGGGAAAGCAACACCAAGTCTTCTCCCTGACAGTTTATCAAAGACCATCTGGCTGACACTGTTGGACACAGATCCATGATTTCACAGTCTCAATTCCCCAGTTTCCTGCTCTTTATTTCTTGGGTCTGGTTTTCCAGCATGGTCTACACCTTGCCCTTGGGCTTGCACATTCCTGACATGGGAGATGTCCTTTCTTTCAAGAAACCTGGCCTGGGCTTGGGGCTTTACACAGGGCACAGAGGGTCACTGGCAGTGGACTTACAACTATCAACATCTGTATAGAACAGACATTCCCATTATCCAAGGTAGAATGAGAGTTAATCTTTCAACTTTCTCAAGCGCAAGTCCCAAATTCAGTAAATTTTCAGAACCCTTTCAGCTTGTACAGGTTAAGCCTGTTGCAGCCAGGGAAGGGCAGAGGCCTTGGCAAGAAATCTCACAATATATTCATTCTCTATCTCATTTTCTCTGTCCCTCTGCCTCTGTCTCTGTCAGTCTGTCTATCTGTCTCTCTCTCTCTCTCACATATACACATTGACACCCACACCCACACCCATACCCCCCTCACACACACACTCAAGAAATATGCAAATGCAAACACGCCTGTACCTTTACTAATACTTTTTATCTTCCACAGCCGGATGCAGCACTGAAAAGGTTGAGTACACTGACTAAGCAGATAATAAGTATGGCCAGATAGGGGCTGATGGGAGGCCAGGGTGAGTTCGGATGGAGGTCTTGGTGTCCCCTTTATTTTTCCCATGCCCAAGTTCCACACTCTAAGTATTTTACTTTTTGCCCCTTCTTAGGTTCCCCCACCTTTACTTAACATGTTGCTAATTATTAACTAAGTCCACTGTCCATCACAGTGAACCATGGTCACAACGTCAGTGAGAGAACTGGATGATGCCTCTTACAGCATTGTACAGCCCATTCATCTCTTCAAAAGCCAAATGCCACCTTGCTGTGGAGTCCAACTTTTCTTCTAAATAAACACTTGGTGCTGGGACTCTGTGTGCTCTTTCCATGCTGGTCTATGAGGTCACAGAAGAACAAAGATGGGCTCCAGCAGCTTTACTCTCAGGAACTGCTGTCCCCAGAACCCAGGCTGATGTTAGGGTGCTCAGAGAAGGAACAAAGCAAACAGTTCCAGAGTCTCAGCCACCATCATTGCCACTGGATTCCCTGAGGATGTCCTGGGCAGCTCTATGCTGTACTCACTCACTGTTTAACTGGGACTCACCTGGTACTCATGCTGAGCTCGCACCCATAACTGTCTTAGAGCATTTACCCAACCAAGAAAGGCAGTTTTGAGGATGTACCTCATACCCACACTTGGTCACTTGCAACAGGCTCTGCAGGAAGGGCCCCATCAGAGGTGGGCAGTGTCAGAGTTCTGGGGGTGAGGGTACAAGGAACAGCCACCAACAGCCCTCCCACATCCCGTGGATGCTGTTTCCTGGTGATGACGACAGAAAGGAGGATGGAGAGTGTGGCAGAGCAGTGGGCAATGGTTGGCAGAGGTTGAGTAGCTATGGGCTCCTGTCCCAGTGCCCACGAAGAAGAATCTGGTCCTCACTATGTGACCTTACAGGTTGAGGACCATGTCTGTGTTAAACTAGTCATTGTGATGCTCCATCAGGTTGATGCTCAGATGACTTGGGATTGCATTCTGAAGCCAGGGCAGGGCCAGGTGTCATAGGGCAATGTGATGCCTGGATCTTGGTCTCCTGAGAGAGGACCCACACATCTGGGTCTGGATCTGATCTGAATGGCCCCAGTTCCTACACTGACAACACCAGCTCCTCCAACCTCCAAATGATTTGACACTAAGGGATACCTTGGCTTCTTCCTCGCCCCTCTAAGCACAGTATTCTGAATGGGTGTGACTCTGAAGGGCCCCAACTTCCCCTAGTTCAGACACACAATTGTTATACCCGATCTGACTTGCAGAGATGTGGAAGGAAAGACTGAATTCACCTCAGTCCCTCAATGAGCAAGACAGCCCTGCAACCCAAGTCCAACAGCAGATGTCACAAATGTGGATGAACTTGAGGCAAAGGACAATTTGGTGGCACTTGTGCTGGTCACTTGGAATGAGAGCTACGTCTGACTCAGAGAGAGTCCTCACAGACAGGGATATGTGGGGCCTGTGTCCAAGCCCCTTCCCTGGCTGTGGAGACAGCCATCACCCTGCCTCCTGGGCCTTTGGATCCTCTTTGGGAAGCCCCAATGTTTCCGACATTATTTTTTTCTTTTCCTTTCCTTTTTTTTCCTTTCCTACATTCTAATTTAGTTTTGTTTCTGAATGGATTCTTCTCTTTAAAATAGAATTTAAAAACAAAAAGAAAGAAGGAAAGAAAGATATAAAAAGGGCAGTTTCCCATCATCCTTGCTCCTACTTGTCTTTGAGGATCAAAGTCTCAGGGAGCAAACAGGTCTGTGTGTTTGCTACATGCATAGGTGAGGATATGAGATTCCTACTGTTTGTGTAACATTTTGTCAAAACCAGATGTTGAAAACAGTACTCATGCGTTCTCTTCACACTGTGGTATTGAAAGTTCCAATGCTTCTCTGGGCTGAGACCACGGTGTGCAAAGATATGTTCTCTGAAAGTGGATGTGCAAAAGCCCAACTGTCTGCCTTTTCAAGCTTCTGGAGCTTCTTTCCTTTCATTTCTTGGCCTGTATTCCCCCTTCTTCCATCTTCAAAGCTGAAGTACAGCATTGAAAAGCACGGTGTCATCTAGGCCTTCTCTCTGTGGAAGGATGGCCATCTGGAACACCATTCTCTGAAATCCATGGGTGCAGATTGTGTGGTCCCCACTTCCATTACACAGGAATCCTGGAAAAGAATTCAGGGCTTTTTCAAGTGTAAGCTACTGGTGGCCCCTATAGCAGGCTTCATGATCTACCTCCTCCCCACCTTTCTGTCACCATCTGATACATACACCACAGTGTGGGCCCCATGGTGAACACAGACTACACTGCGTGGGCATCCAGGGTGCCCACAGATCACTGCTACAGCCACAGGTAGTACTACTTAGTACAGACCTATGAGTACTGAGAACTGTGACACTGTCACAGTGGGAACTTGGTCAGGGTCACACTTTTGTTGTCATAATGAGTGAGTCTGCTAATAAGGTGTCATTGTACACCACTGCCCTTTCCTTTGTCCAGGAGTGATGGAGATGGAGGAGGCCACATCATTATTAGCATTGCGCCAAGAGTTAGAAACACCAAGCATGGTGCCTGGCCTGTCCCCCAGCTCCATAACAACACCCCTAAGAGTGGAACAAAGAATGATTTTCATATGGAGATCATGACACACATTCCTGGAAGCAATTGAGAAGATTCAGAAGCCTGGGAGCCTCACACTTTCTTCCCTTGCCTAATTATGGGCTCTGCTTACCAGGAAATGTCCTTCCTGATAGATCGAAGACCCCAGTGTGGGGTGAGTCGCATATGTGCATAAGTGTAGCCACTGAGAGCCCTAAGGGAAGCACTGAAGAACACAGGGTTTGATCAGAGCCAGGTGAGGGTAGTGTGTGGTCTGTGCTTACTATGCCAGGGGTGTGTGGGAGTTTGGGACAGATCCCAGGGGCAGTGTGGGGCAGGGTACTGGAATCTCTGGAAACCAAAGGAGAGCATGTAAAGTACCTGTCTTATTTCACGGTTGTGGGGAGGTGACAGAGGTAGGATGGTGCAAAAAAGGATCCTGGGATCCCAGACCCTCTCTAGGTAAGACTCTTGTGGCTCTGGGCTCAAGCTTTCACTGCCTGAGCCTTTGAAAAGCCTGTGGATGGTCTTGCCTAGCTGTCCAGAACGTGAAGGCAGTTGGGAGAATTTCAACTGAAATGTGGGAAATGCCCAGGTTGAGGTCAGATTTTCACACAAAGCTCGGGAGGTTAATGGCTGAGGAGAGGGAACATAGATATCTCAGGCTTTCAGGCTCCCTGCCTCCACCTAGGGTCACACCTGTGGTGCAGTGTGGGACCGGCCTTTCCTTTCTACTCTTGAGTTGTTTCCATCTGCCCACTTCTCCTCTAGTCCCTAGTCTTTGGCATGATTCTGGCTGGGTTCTACTTTGGCACTGCCTATGGGTTCAGAGGACCTCAAATTCTGGGCACATTGGGCCGAACATCATGTGAGTGGAAAAAAAGAACCAAGGACAGGAACATGATCTGTAAAGAAACAAGGTGACCCAAAGAGGCTGCACAGATGACCTTGGCTTTTCTAAAAATGCCATCCTGGAAAGGAAAGAAGAGCAGGGGCCATTCTAGGGAAGAGCTGATGAGCATTACACACACACAATTTACACACACACACACACACACACACACACACACACACACACACACCATGGGTTCCAAGATTCCTGGAGGTGTCTTGGAGATGCACAGTGAGCACGTGTGGGATGGGACCACAGACCACAGCATATTTGGTGGCTTTAAAAGGTAGAATATTCTGGGGACCAAAAGAACATACAGGAATGGGGGGGAAAAACTTAACTTCTAAACAGCAGTTGTCAGATTTGTTATACAAAGATTATAATGAGATAGAAAAGAAAATACAGAAAAGCTATAGATATCAAAGCATATTTCATAGACTTCTGAAATTTCCTTGCTGCTCAAAGGAGACAATGACTCCACGGGCCTGATTCTCCTGTCAGCACCCTCCTTCCCAGCTCCCAGTTCTCTTCTCTAGTCTAAATGGTGCTTTTAGACAAAGGATGTAAGTTTCATTTCTGGGACTGATGATGAATGTGAGCTGTTTCTGCATGAGTAGCAGCATTACCTAGACTGGTCAAGGGCAAATCTCAGGGCAGAGCAGCCTCCTAGGGCAGTTCCAGTATGCCTTGAGGGGCTGTGCATGTGGCCTAACCAGTTTTCCTTTCTTTGTCTCTTTTCCAAAGTACACAAGAGAGATCAGATACACATCTAATGAATCTTATATGATTGTTGGTAACTCATTGTCTATTCCCAAGTATCACCTTTAGGTTAAAACGTTTTTTTGAAATTTGATTTTAAAGAATAAAAAGACATATCTCAAAGCTCAACTCTCACTCTTCTGATTCTTATGGATTGTAAATCTCTGATGTTAACTAACAAAATAAGTACTCAGAGTAGCTGAAAATATTACACAAAATATTTTGTGACTTAGGAGAAAAATGGGAGAACTAACATAATTACAGGGTGGGGATTCTTATTAACTAATATATTTTTAGTGATAAAGCGGTAACTCTAAAAAACGTATTACAATTTAACATGTCCAACCCATGTAACACTTTAGTTTGATTAAACACATGTGTTTCTGTCTGTTCTGTATGTTATCTTTTCTATTCATCTGTCTAGTAATCCTTTATAATAACTACTGAAGATCTTGGCAGCTGCTTTATCAGTGATTTGTGAGTTCACATCAACTTTATGTTTACTCTTGTTTTTGACATTGTAAACTGCTCTGGCTCTTACGAGAATGAAGGATATAGGCTGAGAGGGCCCTTACAATAAAAACCCTAACAGCTGGTCATAGAAAACTTATATGTGATTTAGGCTAATATGTACATTTTTTTGCGAATTTGCAGGCACATATTATCCTCGAAGAAGTGCTCCTCAAGTTGAACTGCATTTTTAATAATAGCCCAAATGATTCTTGGATTGCACAGTTAAAACTGAGGTAATTAAAGTAAGTTGATAAAAACACAGATGACTTGAAGGTTGTTGAGATCTTTCCTTTCTAACTGGTACACGATCAAAATGATATGCATTTTTGTTTATAAATACAATGCCTATATTTGACTGTGCACAATAATTTAAATTAAGATAGACAG